TTTCTCCAACATTTTTTTTATATATATATATATATATATATATATATATATATATATATAGAGCTGTCAATTGTGGCCCGAGGCCCGAAGTCCGACCCGGCCCAATTCGAAAAATAACAGGTTTCGAGTCGAGATATTAAAGTCCGAAAATTTTCGGACTTTTGGATCGGGTTCAATTCGGGTTTCGGATTAGATTCGGGCCGGCCCAAAAAAGCTCGAATTTTTTTTAAAGAAAATCTTTTAAAAAAATATTAACAAAGAAAATCGTGCGGGTCGACCCGTCTCGAACTGATTCAAATCCGAGATCTATAGGACCGGCTTCAGACTTGGTGATATAGACTCGAAAAAAATCGGATCGGTCCGAATCCGAACCCGAAATCTTCGAATCAAGCGCGGACTCGGATCAGATCGGATCGGGCTAGCCCGATTCCCTATCTATATATATGGATTCCACAACGACGATATGAATGAACAACATCGTATCTCACTACAGGAATGGTCACGGAGTACATAATTGTATGTTACAATGTCGATTTTTCTTTCCGTATCTGGAAGGTTACATATAAATATGGAATTTATAAGTTAATGAGTTGGATTAACATTAAGGCCAAATACGACGTTTTTATCACCTACTGATGGGTATTATCATTCATTACACTAATTAAATTATAAATATTTAAATATATTTAATGTTCACCACAAAATATTTAAATATTTTGGAAGGGAACCATTTTATCTATTATATCAACAAACAGAGGCCCTCTTATTTTCCAGTTCCAAAATTTTATTTTTTTTATGGGATGAAATGAGGAAATATTCTATCCATAGAAATTTGTTCCGCTCACAATATTATGGTTCAACTCATTTTCACCGGTTTGTCGCCCGACCGGTGCATAATTAAACGCCACGTGGCAGTCATGTTTCGATCTCGGTCCCTTATAAACCCCCATTTCCACACGCTCCCTCCCTCTCTCCTACATTGCGTTACTGTGCTCGAGAGGAGGAGAGTCGTCTAGAGAGAGAAGTTAGAGGTTGAGATAGGGCGGCGGAGCGATGACGTGGCGAGACATCGACGAGTTGCCGAAGATTCCGGCGAACTACACGGCGTTGACGCCGCTGTGGTTCCTGGAGAGGGCGGCGACGGTTCATCCGGCGAGGAAATCGCTGATTCACGGATCCATAGAGTACACCTGGCGTCAGACCTACGATCGGTGTCGCCGACTCGCCTCCGCTCTCGCCGATCGGTCCATCGGCCCCGGTTCCACGGTGATCTTCGCCTTCGCTCTTCGTCTCTCTCTCTCTCTCTATTTTTGAATAATCGTGCCTTTGTGTTCGTGGTTGACTATTTACTGCTTTGATCCGACGTCGTTTTGGTAGTGATCTCCATGGTAGCTGGAGTGTGTGTTTTTTTAAAGAAAATGATGGGACTCCATAATTATTCACGACGCCTTTTTTAGAACATTTTTTTTCGAATTTAATGATATCTGGTTCTCTTGTACTTGCCTCCTGAATTAATTTCTCCCTTTCTTCAGTAAATCGCCTTTTATGGACTGGGAGAGAAATCGTGAAGAAAAAGGAAATATGAGAGAAATTATTGCCAAAGAAATTTGGCCATTTTGATGTAAAACCTGTTTCTTAATTTGTTTGCCCTATCTATTCCCAATCACGGGAATCTATAGCTCTTTTAATTGTGATTCATATGCATTGCAATCATTCAGATTTCGCAACACAATAAGTATCTATTATCTATTGTGTTGGAATAGATTTGGAATTACAAATACAAGTATATGTGGGTGAGACATGCCAGATGAAATGAATTATATAGACCTTGAAAACGATGGAATGTATAATTTTTAGCAAAATTCCCCAATTCTTTACTCTTACTAAAGAAGTCATACCCGATAAGGAAAATTATTTTGAAGCTTGAATTGAAGATTACAGCAGATTGTGACGGTATTTCTCATTTTTCAGGTGGCCATAATCGCTCCGAACATCCCCGCGATGTATGAAGCTCATTTCGGAGTACCAATGTCTGGAGCCGTGCTGAACTGTGTCAACATTCGACTGAATGCCCCAACGATTGCGTTTCTTCTGGGCCACTCGCAATCTGCAGTCGTGATGGTTGACCAAGAGTTCTTCACCCTGGCAGAGGAAGCTCTGAAACTCATGGAGGAGAAAGCAGGACCAGGGTTCAAGCCTCCTCTCCTGATAGTCATAGCCGACGAGACCTGTGGTCCCGAGTCGCTCCACCATGCTCTGGCAAAAGGGGCCATGGAGTACGAGAAGTTTCTTGAAACAGGCAACCCCGAGTATGAGTGGAAGCCGCCTGCAGACGAGTGGCAGAGCCTAGCTCTGGGTTACACCTCTGGAACAACCGCTAGCCCAAAGGGAGTTGTGCTTCACCATCGTGGTGCGTATCTGATGGCTCTTAGCAATCCTATCATTTGGGGCATGCAGGAAGGTGCCGTGTATTTGTGGACACTTCCTATGTTTCATTGCAATGGCTGGTGCTTCACTTGGTCCCTGGCAGCTCTCTGTGGAACAAGCATATGTCTCCGTCAGGTACATAGTTATTTTTTCCACATCCTTCCTTCCAAAACTGGCAGAGATATAAAACCAACTGCGCAGATGCGTACAGTTTCCCTGTATATACACCATGTCGGATTGTAACAGAGAAAATATTGTGGTTCAGGTGACGGCAAAGGGTGTTTATTCAGCCATAGCCAAATACAAGGTCACCCACTTCTGCGCCGCACCTGTGGTCCTCAACACCATTGTTAACGCCCCACCAGAGGACACCATTCTTCCCCTCCCTCACACTGTTCACGTCATGACTGCTGGAGCCGCCCCTCCACCATCCGTGCTCTTCGCCATGAACCAGAAGGGATTCCGGGTGGCCCACACCTACGGCCTGTCTGAGACATATGGCCCATCCACCATCTGTGCCTGGAAGCCAGAGTGGGATTCCCTCCCACCCGAGACACAGGCACAGCTCAATGCACGGCAGGGTGTTCGATACGTTGGCCTCGAGCAGCTCGATGTCATCGATTCCCGTACCGGGAAACCCGTCCCGGCTGACGGTAAAACAGTCGGGGAGATCGTTTTCAGGGGAAACGTGGTGATGAAAGGGTATCTGAAAAATCCGAAAGCGAATGAAGAGACGTTCGCAGGAGGGTGGTTCCACTCGGGCGATCTCGCCGTGAAACATCCGGACAACTATATCGAGATCAAGGACCGATCCAAGGACATAATAATATCCGGAGGCGAGAACATAAGCAGCGTGGAGGTGGAGAACGTAGTGTACAACCATCCGGCTGTGTTGGAGGCATCGGTGGTGGCACGACCCGACGAGCAGTGGCAGGAGTCGCCATGTGCGTTCGTGACGGTGAAGAGCCGGACAACTATATCGAGATCAAGGACCGATCCAAGGACATAATAATATCCGGAGGCGAGAACATAAGCAGCGTGGAGGTGGAGAACGTATTGTACAATCACCCGGCTGTGCTGGAGGCATCGGTGGTGGCACGACCGGACGAGCAGTGGCAGGAGTCGCCCTGTGCGTTCGTGACGGTGAAGAGTGGTTACGAGAAGGAGGACGAGAAAGGGTTGGGGGAAGACATAATGAGGTTCTGTCGGGAGAAGCTGCCGGCTTATTGGGTGCCGAAGTCGGTGGTGTTCGGTCCGCTGCCGAAGACGGCCACCGGCAAAATACAGAAGCATATTCTCAGGTCTAAGGCCAAAGAGATGGGACCCATCCCTAGAAGCAAGTTATGAGATCTGGTAAGTACAGTTAGATGTCTCTTCCTGTCATTTTGGAGAGATGATGGATCTCAACAGACCTGACGATTTCTTCTTTTCTCAGCAATACCAGCAGGTACATAGTCTCTCTATCCATTTCCATCCATTCTGTATGTAAATTCTATACGTATTTATGTACGTATACGAATTCATTGAGACCAATAATATCGTATTGGGTGACTTTGATAGATATATATATATATATATGCAACAGGTTAATAATAAACTTCGAAATAAGGAAAATAAATGAAAAAAAAATGGTTGAAAAATAAAAGGCAACCTAACTGACGGCTACGATCATCTACACGTGTATTTTTGCTATTTTCACTTTCTACAAAATGTGACATTTGAGGACCGTTACCTTCTAAAGATTTATATAATATCCTATATATATATATACATTTGATATAAAATTTCAATTTCTAAAAGTATCCGAAATTTCGATTGGACTAGACCTACAATATTCTTCTTTTAACAAAGGATAAAAATCTGGAACTAGATATTTTTATGATCGGACGGCCACAAACGACCGACCATTCCCAGTGTAACGGTGTTCTCCACGTTGTGAGTTTGACGGTGGCCACGTGGCATGTCTTAGGACACTGTTCTCGCTCGGGCCATCAAATGGGCCTTTTATTCTAATGGGCCTATGTCCGAAGTTCTATTTCTTATAATTTTTAGGGTTAATCCAATATTCTCCACCAAGTTCCAATTTCCTACACGAATTTTTTATTTTGCAAAACTTACACCAAAATTCAAAATTTTCCAAATTCCCCTACGAAATATGAAAATTGATTCCAATCTCATACACATCGGGTGACGGTGTGAAACAGAACACAATTCTGTTAAAACCGTAGGTGATGTGACACGTCAGAAAATTGTCCACATGTATATGCCACGTGTTTAATCTTAAAAACGAAAATCACTAATTAAACCGAGTCGATTTACATATTAAACCGAAAAAAAAAACAAAATAAACAAAATAAAAACCCAAATTTGTAACCTAATTCCTCAAAATCGACATTCACCCTTGTTCCCCCTAAGTGAGTGAGAACTAAATCCCCAAAGGTCGACATCCTCTGATTTCTCCGACGAGACCTCCTTCCGTTCGGACAGTCCTCTCTGCCACGAGGCTCTTCTCCGGCGAGATCCTCTCCTGGCCTGACTGTCGACTCTCATCTCTCTCCAAACCACGACACCCATTGTAATTCGTCATCTCTCTCCAGTCCATCGACTCCATCCTTGGCCGCAACTCTGGCGAGACTCAGACGCGACATCGACGACACGCGACCTTGATTCCGGTGACACCCTCCTCGGCTGCGAACATCTCCTTCTCCGACGTGACAGTAATATTCTGCGGCTTTCTCCCGTATGTTATTTCAGTCTTAATTCCCTAGTTGTATGTAATTAGGTGATAGTGTAATTGGGTTATGTGATATTATAGGTTGATTAGTTTGATATTGTTGTTTGATGGAATTAGAGAGTTTGATTCTGTTTTAACATAAATTCAGTTTATGATTAGGTTGATGATGTTGTTTGATGCCGGATTGAGCTAAGAGAAGATATAAACATGTAACGCTGTGATCAATTGAGAGCAACTTGATTGTAGACAATTGTGGAATTTCAGAAATCATTTGTGATCTCTGTAGACAATTGTGGGTGATTCAATTAGTTGTAGACTTTTAGTTAGTGGACGAATGTCTGAATGTGTGTTTATGGTTTATAGATCTCAGTGGTTGTGGATCTTTGTGATACAACAGACCCTCAGTTTACAACAGTCCATTGAGGAAATGAGATAAGTTTCTAGTTTTATTGTTGATGGGAAATTGGTAGATTTTATGATTACATATTAATAGGATGAGTTAATTTTGTAGTTGGTGTAAACTCAACCTTCATATGGCTGGAAATATGGAATAAATTGATGGAAAAAGTTATTACATTGATGGGATTGTGGATGAAGGTGTTATGGTTGATATGGATGTTATGTCTTGGAGTTTTGTGGAAGATTTTGTTAAATCTCATAACATAAGCGGTGCAGTCAAAGACGTGTGGTTTAAATTACCACATGAGAGTTTAGATGAGAAGAGACATGTGGTTCAAGGATGTGGGGATCATGAAATGAAGTTAATGTTTGAAATGACAACCTTATGTGGGGAGTTAGATATATACATAGACCATCATATATCTCAACCCACTCCAGTTAAGCGAAGGGTAGATAGGTTAGTTGAAGAGAATTTGGTTGATTATGACAGTGTTGCAGATGATGATTATGTATGTTGTGATGATACAGTTGGGTTTGACGATGAGTCTTCTGATTTGGATGAATTTAGGGAATATGAAAGTAGTGATGATGATTTTGCTCAAGATTATTGATGAAGCTGATGTCGTTGAAAATGAAGAGGCGAATTCGAGTGAGGATTATTTAGATAGTGATGAATGTATCCCCCTCACACCTGAAGGAACTGATGAAGAATGAGATAATTTTGACAAGCTTAAGACAAAGATTCCGATAACATTCCCGAGTAGCGAGTTCTTGTATCTTGGTAAAACTTTCAATCGAGTGAAAAATTTAAGGCGTTGTTTGACTATGTGATAAATAAAAACTTAAACGTGAAGTTGTCCAGGTGGGATCGAACAAAATTGGCCGCAGTGTGCTGTAACGTGGGCTGTCCATGGAGGGTTTATTGTTCGGTTGAGGTTCCAATCAATAAATGGATGATCAAGATCTATAAAGACGATCATAACCACATTGCGGAGAAGTATGCTAATATGCTAACGATGAGGCAAATAGCAACATTGTACGTTGAGAAGATTAGGGCTGAACCGAGTTTTAGGGGGAAAAAGATGCAGGATGAGATACAACGGGATCATAATTTGACCGTCTCTCTTAGCAAGTGTTTCAAGGCTAGAAGTTTGGCCTTGAAAGTTGTTAGCGAAGATCAAGAAGTTCAATTTAGGAAATTGTGAGACTATGAGTTAGAGCTGCAACGTTCAAACCCCAATACGAGTACTGAAATCGAAACAAACCCAGCTCCGGGTCAGTAGGTGTTTCACAGATTCTACGTATGCTTCGATGTCCTATGAGAGTCATGGAAAAGACATTGTCATCCGGTTATCGGGTTAGATGAGTATTTCTTGAAGTGGGACTTTAAAGGGAAACTTCTTTCTACAGTAAAAAAACCCTAATATTATACATGTTAATTTCTGATTTGATCGAACCGTATATGTGAATGATGACGTGTACGACTCAGTCAAATCATAAATTGATACATCAGTAGTTAGGTTTAGAAATGACATATTTTAGAAAGTTTAGATTTTTTTTCCAGTATAAAGAATGAGTTGGGGTTTTATTTTTTTTTAAATAGTTTAAAATCTTTTGAAAAAATTGAAAAGTTGAGGTATTTTTTTTATGATTTTCTTTGTATTTTATTATATCATATATATATATATATATATATATATATATATAAGTACAGTTTCCTCTTACGGGCACATGACATGTGTCTTTTTTTAGGAATATCAAAAGTTACAAATTGGTTAATGAATCTTTCTCACGTAATATCAAGAGTTATTAATTAAATAATACATTGAATCTTTTTCGCGTAATATCAAGGGTTACAAATTAACTAATGAATTTTATATTCATTAATTCTTTATACGCTAATAAAGATATCATGTATTTAAAAAGAACATCTTTCATTCTAAAAATCATTACCTGAGAGACATGAATGATGTTAAACCATATATAGATACTATTTGAACAAGTTAAATATATTTATTTTTGAAGTTGCGATGTACATCTAATCCAATTTCACGTATATTTAATTGATTTTAATCCGATTCAATTAATTTACATGTACCAATTTTAATCAATTATTTTTGAACAAGTTAAATGTCTTTATTTTTGAAGTGGACTATAGATTGATGATTATTACCAACAAAACGTATATGTACACAATCTTTCTTTGTAATCTTTCATAGTTTTCTCTCAAAAAAATTATTTTTTATTTGAATAGGTGGAGATATGAAAATTGATGGTAGTGTTATTTAAGGAATGAATGTTAAATTTGGACACGTTGTATGTTGATTTATTTTTAGTTTTTATATTGTTCTGATGTCTTATATTAAGTTATGTTTCAGTTTTTAGGTTGTTCTGTTTTTTATGTCATATGTTACATAAATGGATTGTTTGTTTAGATTTATTTTAAAGGAGTGTTCTCGATGGTGTTCACTATTCGATTTATTCTTGTTGATGCTAACCATGCCAACTCAAAACAAATCTTAGCTTCTTTATACGATAAAGCCTGTGAAATATTTTTTGTTCCAGTCGAGCTTAACCCGATATCCGTCCAATCTGATGAACCGACGGTGAAAGAGAGTCTAGAAAGTGGAGAATCCAGACAAAGTTGCGAATGTGAATAAAGAAGATGGTGGGATATCTGAGAAGAGTCCAGACGAAACTGCGAATATGAATAAGAAAGATGGTGGGAGATATGAGGTTGACGATCAAGTTAATCTATAAATAACAATGACAACCATAATTAGTACTTAATATTACAAAATATATTTTACAAGAATAAGTTGTATATTATAAGCTACATATTTTACAACGAAATAGTTCAGTCCATTTTGATCTAATCAAAGAAGCTGTTCTACGGGCCCGAATATTGTTCATCTACTTTGTATATTATAATCAAAATAGAATATCAATTCTGGATCTCCATTCAAATGATTACACTCAAATCAAATTACAAAGTACGAGAGAAAAAAACGGAAAAAAAAACTACAGATCGGAGACAGAAAATCATTTATTTTACAAGAATCAAAACGAGAAGAAGAGAATTGTGAGTGGTTTCCAAGAATCGAACACAAGTACAAAGACGAGGAAGAAGCACGAGTTAGATATATATAGGCTTTGATCGAGAGACAAATTCAAGTAATGCATTGGATGATTTAGATCGTGCGGTCAGTATTCTACAAGACGATCAACGTAATAAATGGTATCTCCATTATAGATATGTATAAATATAACAAAATAAATTTGAACTAATGATATTTTTAAAAAATAGTATTTTAGGAAAAAAATTGAACAATGTTGATTTTTTTTACTTTGTAATATTCAGAAAAAAAAACTTTTAAAATTTATTCATCTTTCAAGTTGAATAATCAAATGAAAAATACCTTTTTTTTAAAAAAACAATATATATGCAACTACTAAAAAAATATAATAAAAAGGATATAAATGCTGTAAAAAAAATTTATTTATAACAATTACAAAAATTAACATGGATTGTATATTTTGTACATAAAATGTGTATATGATTGAATAATCCAAATTATAGATAATTAGGATCCTTATAAACTTTAGCACATAAAAACACATAGTCAACTGAAAATTTTAAAACAATGCACCCTAAAATTTAATTAAAAAATTATTCACTAAAATGAATAATAAAATTTAATAAAACTAATGTTACAGGAACATTGAATAATCCTAATTAATAATAAAATTATTCACTAAAATCAAAACTCTCCCTAGACATGAGTTTGCTTTTGTCTAACCGGTTCCAAATTTGGATAAAAGATGAGGGTTTTTGTGATAAGTTGACAACAACAAAAAAAAATCAAATCTCGCATGTAACAAATTCAAAGCTTTAATACGTAATGAGCAGAATGAAGAATACACGCGGTCGACCCAAAAAAATTTGGGATTAAGACGAAGTTAAATGCTAAAAGATTAAATTAAATAAATATGTATAAAATTTATAGTGTGGAGATTATATAGTTTAGTTTTTATATCAGTTTTTGTTGTTAAATGATGTATACTTTATATAACAATTGATTTTCTAAAATAGTATTCGAATATTTCAGATACTAACCTTTGGTTATATATTGTTTCTTACAAAAATTTAAATATACAAATTGTTAATAATACTCTTTAGAGAAAAAAAACCATCCCAGTATTCTAACATTAAAAATTCATTGCAATTTAAATATATAAATTAGAAATTAAAAAATATATATATTTAAAACTATAACATTAATAATAATTTTTTAAAAATATATAATTATTTCCAGACCAATGCGAGAATTTAATTGTAAGGGAATGAAATGAATGCATGCATATCATGCATTTTTTTTGTATTCAGCAGATTGGGCCTTATACAAGGTATATTTCAATTATTTCACCATCATTTTTCTTGTATATATATATATAATTAATGAAAACAATTTGTTTATATATAAACACGCATTTATAATTAATTTGTTTGGCTTAAATGAAACACAACAAGGAAACCAGCGTTAATCAAAGAACAACTGTAGTTATAGAGAAATTAAGACCAAAATTACAGGTTATGATGCAATTCAGTCAAAGTTTTTTTTTAAATTACATATTCATTGATATATATATATATATATACATATTTCTTAAAATAAAAATATATATTTATAGAGAATGACTCACGAACAACTTCCAGGTGTATTTCTGGACAGGAAAATATTGTGGGTAATTTAGTTAATTAACAAACTAATCAATACATTATTTTAATTGGTGGGTTTATCATTCCTTGAATATATATATATATGAGCTTTGATTATAGTTTTGCAGGAAGATTGGCGCTTATAGATTGATGAAAAAGACTGGACGGACTGGAATGAAAAAGGCTGTTTTTATGAGATGCTTGTCGTTTCAATATAGCCGGCAGACAGTTGTTTTTTTTTTTGGATAACCGGGTTTTCTGAGCCGAGGTCCAGACTAATACCGGGACCGGGAGCTAGCCATGTGATTTAAATTATGCGCTCCCTCCTCATCCTGGGGTTCGAACTCGGGGTGAGACAGACGTTTTGCGTTCCGTTTCACCGATTGAACTACCCAGATTGGGTAACAGACAGTTGTTGTTGTTTTTCTCTCTTACTTCATGTGCCACTACTATTAAATAAAGCATAGAAATTTCAATTTTAATAATTACACCGTCAAATTCTAACGGGTCTTCGTCTTCGATTGAAATCCAGGACACTGAGCTAAAACGATAGCGTTTTAAAGCCTCAAGGGAGAATGGGACTTGCAAACTATGGAACAAAACTTCAATTACAAATTTAAAAATAAAATCAGATTTTGCAAATTTTATTTTTAAAATTCTAAAAATACTTGATAAATAGAATAAATATTAAACCAAGTTGGTTTAGGACTGGACATTTAAATTCGTTATCTGTAGTTTTGTGAATACCCGATCTCGTAAATATTTGAAAAACGGGTATTCGACTTTGAACGAAGACATATTTGGATTTTATTTTTTCATGATGGATATTCGTGGGTACTCATAAATATATATTAAAGATCAAAATATTCCTAATTTTTTTAAGTTATTTATCAAAATATTAGGTTTTAACTTTAAAAATCAACATATATCTTTAAAAAATTCTATAAATATATGTATATTCGAAAAATATATAAATTTTCAGATTTGTACCTATTTTGAATTAAATAGTATGATTTTACTAAATATTTTATTTATATTTATATTTAAAATTTTTATTTTATAGATATGAATACGCTTGAATATCTATCTCTTAGCCGCGAATATTCGGTCGGTGGATACTCGTTTTTTTACGAGATAGAGAATAAAATATTTTTTTATAAAACTCTGAAAACGAAAATGAGGTCGGATATACCTAAAATTACGGATATTCGACGTGCCCACCTCTAAAATTAGGGGTGGGCGTTTCGGGAAACGGTTTGGGTTCGGGACGGAATGGATCAGTTCGGTTCTTTCGGTTTTACAAAAATAGGTACCAATCGGGTTTTTTATTGTATTCGGTTCGGTTAGGTTCCGGATTTTATTAAAAAAATATTAGGTTTCTTTTAAAAATATTCGGTTTTTCGGGATTTTTAAAGTTCGGTTCGGTTCGGTTCGGTTCTAGAAAAATCCGATTCTCTAAAAATGGTACCGTTCGTGAAATAACACCGGTTTGAGATCGGAAAAATTACCGTTTTTAACGGTTCGGTTCAGAAGACCGAAACGCCTGCACTATCTAACACCAACCAATTCCTATTGATTTAAACGACCTCCATTTCTTTTTTTCTTAATATAGTTTTACAAGTTAAAAAAATATATACAGAGAGAGGCTCTAATCAAATAGAAAAATAGTAATTTACTCCATTTTATTAATTCCAACTTATTTAGCTCCTTTCGTAAGTTCTTTCTAAACATTTCAATTATAAATGAATATATATTTATACATGTGCATATTTATAAATCTCCTCCCCTAATTTTTTTTCACCACCGTCTTAGGGTTTTTTTCTCCATTTCTATACACTCCCGATCCAAGAACCGAATCCTCCAAATACCGTCGACGATCCCTGGACGAAGGCCAAGATTGCCATGTCTCTCAGACCTAACGCTAGGACGGAAGTTCGCCGGAACCGCTACAAAGTGGCGGTTGACGCGGAGGAGGGACGACGGCGGAGGGAGGACAACATGGTTGAGATCCGCAAGAGCAAGCGCGAAGAGAGCTTGCTGAAGAAGCGCCGCGAGGTTCTCCAGGCCGCGGCGCAGCAGCAGTTCCCTCTCCCCGCCGTCGAGAAAAAGGTATTCCGTCTTATACGGCTCGTGTTTTTTACGATCTAGGATTTGATAGCTCGGGATCTGGTTTTTCCCTTCTCCGATCTAGACTTAGGGGTCTGGGTTGGGGTTTGTCATGCGGAATCTGTGATTTTTAGTGGCTTTAATCGGTCATTTTGATTTTTTATGCAGTTGGAGAGTTTGACCTCCATGGTTTCTGGGGTTTGTTCGGACGATAGGAATCTGCAGCTTGAAGCGACTACTCAGTTCAGGAAGCTGCTGTCTATAGGTATTTCTCGATGCTGTTTGTGCGTATCTAATTGTGTAGTCGAACTAATGTTAATGCAAAAACCGTGACTTTCTCTGTAACATTGTCTATTGATTCGGCAGAGCGAAGTCCTCCAATCGAGGAAGTGATTCAGGCTGGTGTTGTGCCCCGTTTTGTTGAATTTCTCACAAGGGAAGATTATCCACAGCTCCAGGTTTGGGAATTTAGAATCGAAGTATTCAGGCTGATATTTTACCCCGTTTTTGCTTGTTTGTTTACTTTACGAGTTTGTGATCGTAGTTTGAGGCTGCTTGGGCATTGACGAACATAGCATCCGGAACTTCAGAGAATACAAAGGTGGTGATTGATCATGGTGCTGTTCCTATTTTTGTCAGGCTGCTAGCCTCACCAAGCGACGATGTCCGTGAACAGGTAATCATTGTCGTTATTTTTCTTGTGAGAGTGAGAGTTTCCTCATTCAGCATTTTATCTCCCTGAATAAGGTTTTTTTCAAGTTTTTTGTGGGCCACACTGCGAATTTGTAGGCTGTTTGGGCTTTAGGAAATGTTGCTGGTGATTCTCCACGGTGTCGTGATCTTGTCCTCAGTCATGGGGCCTTGATGCCCTTGTTAGCACAGCTGAATGAGCATGCTAAGCTCTCGATGCTGAGAAACGCTACTTGGACGCTCTCAAATTTCTGCAGGGGCAAACCACAACCTCCTTTTGACCAGGTTTCACTTCTTTTACTCTGTCTGTTAGCCCCCAGGCGAACTTCTCTTTCTGAGTTGAGGGTTGAATTGTTATGTGTGGGATCTCTTATTAACAGGTTCGGCCAGCACTTCCAGCCCTTGAGCGTCTTGTTCATTCGACTGATGAGGAAGTCTTGACAGATGCTTGTTGGGCTCTCTCTTACCTATCTGATGGTACAAATGACAAAATTCAAGCTGTTATTGAGGCAGGCGTTGTTCCTCGACTTGTGGAGCTTCTCCTGTGAGTATTTACTCTTGTAATTTTGGTTATCTACTTCACCTGAACATTAATGTTAATGCATGAACGAGCACATAGCAGAGTAGCAAAAGGAGCCCATTTGTTGCAGAACTTGAAACCTTTTGGCAGAGCAGAGCAAGCTCTCTGGGGCTGATAGTCAGTCCTGTGCATGCATAATACGGAATTGAGTGAATAAACAAATTAAAGGTCCCCAAAATTATTCATCCATCTCAGATGACTATTGGTTCTTATATGTAACAATGATTATTCAGTTCTCATTTACAGAGACGTAGACTATATTCATGTATTAATATATTCCTGAGATTCTGGATCCTTCCTGCTCTTCGTTCTGTTGGGAATATAGTTACCGGAGATGATATGCAGACACAGGTTACGACATATAAAGTTCTATTTTGTGCCTTTCTTGTTTTTTCATTTGAATCCTGCTATGTCATGACCAAGTCAGTTTACATGATTGATTACACTGCGTTGAATTGTGATGCAAAGGATGAGATGACACCGGCTTAGAGATTGCGCTGGCCAATTGAAATATCGAGGAATAACGAGTTTTGAATTGAACATTAGGTACTTGTTGATCCTAACTAGATTTGGCCTTCCTGGAATATGATCTGTTACTCTGAATGCAATGCCCCTTAGGTCTTAACTGATGTACCCCCGCATCTTTCATGTTTGTTTCATTGACCACTCTAGCACCATCTTCCAATAGAGTACAAGATTTTGGTGCATTGCCTCTTGCTTGTACTCTCTTGGCCTATTTAGGGCATATGTGTTTCTGACTTGTCGAAGTGGGTTTCCCAACAACTATAATCAGAAGTGTTTGATTTGAGATGTCTGTTCTGCCTGGCATAATGATCTCGGTCCTCCCAATATTTTCTCTGTTTATTTCTCTTATTTCTCTGTGTCGTTCTGAATTGATGAACCTTTGACTTATAGTGTGTAATTAATCATGGTGCTCTACCCTGCCTTCTGAGTCTTCTGAGTCATAATCATAAAAAGAGCATAAAAAAGGAAGCTTGCTGGACGATCTCAAATATCACTGCTGGAAACAGGAATCAAATTCAGGTAAGCTTGTCTTAAAAATCTTAAATTTGTATAATATTGCTTCTGATAAGCTTTTAGTGTTTTTTCTGAGGATTGGGTTTTCTTTCTTTCTTTTTTGAGGTGATGTTTATAGTTTGTGTAATTTCTTCAGTATACACGTGTAATGAATGATCATTCGGTATAAGGGAATGTGACCTGCTCTGTTAGACAAAAAAATATTTCTGTCATCGTTGTTGAGTCGTTTCCTGTTTGCAGGCTGTAATTGAAGCTGGTTTGATTGGGCCCCTAGTCAATCTGCTTCAAAATTCTGAGTTTGATATAAAGAAGGAGGCTGCCTGGGCGATCTCAAATGCTACTTCAGGCGGTTCCCATGAGCAAATCAAGTATGAGTGTTGGATATCGACATCATCTTTAGTTGAAATCTTATCTCCCTTAACGACTTTCCTGGCTTTTCTTTCATGCGTTGCTTAAAATACCCTCTTGTTGCTTTAGGTACCTGGTTGAACAAGGATGCATAAAGCCATTGTGTGATCTTTTGGTGTGCCCTGATCCAAGGATTATTACCGTCTGTCTGGAAGGACTGGAGAACATTCTGAAAGTTGGGGAAGCCGAAAAGACCATGGGTAACACTGGGGATGTAAACTATTACGCACAGTTGATTGACGATGCTGAGGGATTAGAGAAGATCGAGAATCTGCAGAGTCATGATAACAACGAAATCTATGAGAAGGCAGTCAAGATTCTTGAGACATACTGGTTGGAAGAGGAAGATGAAGCATCACCGCCTGGTGATGGTTCAGCTCAAGGTTTTCAGTTTGGAGGCAATGAAGCGCCCTTACCATCAGGTGGATTCAATTTTAAGTGAAGGTAATTTTTCACTTAATCGTATCCTGTTCTCGGTTGATTGGTGCATGCTTTAGGTATGATACTTATCCACAGGTTCATGCATAATTTTGTGATGAGGTTTTTGTTTTGGAGAGAAGTTTTGAATTAGTGGTAGTGTAGGGGTTATAAAATGTTGGTTTTTACACTTGCTTACATAGGGAGAGAAATTACATATGCCTGCTCCGGTGTTAATTAGTTCCTAATCAAGACATTGATCCTTTTTATTTGTCATAATGCTAGTCCCCAACCACCTTATTCAACTATCCTATGACCCTGATAGCGCCGTCCTTTATATGACAGCTTTACCCGACACTCCAAAAAGAGTTGATTGTGTTGTGTGATATATATGTATATATATATATGTATTTGTTTTGTTTTGTGGATTTTTATGTGATGAAGTTTGCAGGGGGTGGGGAAGGTCTGGGGTAAAATCGTAACGTGTCTTCTTTTGGTATAGAAGTGGGGAGTGATCTCTCTGGTGTCAGTCAGTGGTCCGAAAGAAGGGTGCTTCATCTGGTCTGGTCAGGTCATGTCCGAGTGAAGGGAAGGGGGTCGGAGTCCGTAGATGGAAGGGTCGGGGTCTCTCTGGTGTCAGTCAGTGGTCAGAAAGAAGGGTGATCCATCGGTCAAACACAGTGGTCGAGGATTGGGGGAATGGTCTCTGCCTTTGCTTATGTGCCCTCTTTTTCACTACACGGTTTCATACACACACACACACACACATACACATATGTATATGTATATGTATAAAGGCATGCAGGGGAAAACATATGTGGGTTGTTGGGTCCTCGGCGGAGGAAGAATTTTAAGAGAGTGCTTTGTACTATTTATAAATGTTTCTTTTTTTATCGCTTTTTCTTATGGGTGTTATTTGTGAGAGAGAGTAAAGCCCGGGACAAAGCGAAAACATTTGTTTTTTTTTTTACTTTTTTTTTTACGAGTGATTTAGAGCCCAATTGAATGTAATGTAACTGGGCTACAAAAACCCATATGTAAGGGCCCTTTTTGTGATTATTATATTTTATATTTGTTTATGATGATTTTTTCCGGTTTTACTCGTTTCTTTTTTGGCGGGTGGCTCCAAGGCAATTACGGAGCCCGCCCAAGGACATTCTAGTAATTTCGGAAGCCGAAATTCTAGGGTTTCCTCCCCCCAATTATAAAACGCCCCGTCCAGGCCCCCGCCGAGTATTTCGTTCCCTCGCTCCGCCGTTTCTGTTGCTCCTCCGTTCTGGTTCCACCTGCTCTCTTCTCTTCGGACAAGACGAAGTACATCTTGTCTGCGTCCTGAACTCCTAAACTTGAGCTCTAGTCTCGAGGTCTCAAGTTCACAAGCCTAACAATGTGAGTACTCCTACTATCTTCTTCCTCTGCTTTTTCTCTTCTGTCTTTTGTTTTTTCTTGGTGGGATCTCTATTTCTCTTATTT